GAAAGTTGACCAGTAATTAAGGTAACGTGAACAGTGAAATTTGACCAGTAATAAGGTAATGTGAACAGTGAAATTTGACCAGTAATAAGGTAATGTGAACACTGAAAGTTGACCAGTAATAAGGTAAAGGTAAGGTAAATAAGGTAGTTTTTAAATACTTAGTGGTAGTTTTAAGTTGGAAAGGTAGTTTTTAAATACTTAGGGGTAGTTTTAAGTTGGAAAAGTAGTTTTTAAATACTTAGGGATAGTTTTAAGTTGGAAAGGTAGTTTTAAATACTTAGGGGTAGTTTTAAGTTGGAAAGGTAGTTTTTAAATACTTAGGGGTAGTTTTAAGTTGGAAAGGTAGTTTTTAAATACTTAGGGGTAGTTTTGAATTGGAAAGGTAGTTTTTAAGTACTTAGGGGTAGTTTTGAATTGGAAAGGTAGTTTTTAAATACTTAGGGAGAGTTTTGAATTGGAAAGGTAGTTTTTAAATACTTAGGGATAGTTTTGAATTGGAAAGGTAGTTTTTAATAACTTAGGGGTAGTTTTGAATTTGAAAGGTAGTTTTTAATAACTTAGGGGTAGTTTTCATTTCAAAGTGGAACAAAATTTAATACATTTACTTTCAAAGAAAAAATTTGTGTATTAAAATGTCTTAATTCGTTTAGTTGTGTAAGTTCTTACTGTAATAACTGCTATTACCTTTTTATGTTGTCTGTTGCGACAACGTTTAGACAACTATTTTTTTAAAAATAAGGAATTTATCCATTGGTTTAGCCAGGTGTTTAGAGGGCTTGACTCACAATCTGCGGGTCGTGGGTTCGAATCTCCGTTCCAAAAAACATCCTCGCCCTTTCACCCATGGGGGCGTTATAATGGGATGGTCAATCCCACTATTTGTTGGTAAAAGAGTAGCCCATGAGTTGGCGGTGGGTGGTGATGACTAGTTGCCTCCCATCTAAACGTTCACTGCTAAATTAGGGACGACTAGCGCAGGTAGCCCTCGTGTGGCTTTGCATGAAATTACAAACAAACTTGATATATCAACTTTCAGTAACACCAGAATTGATCCTCTATATCTTAGTCAATAAGGACCCTTTTATCCAGAGGTAGGTCAGTGGTAAGTGTGAGGTCTTACAACACTAAAATCAAGAGTTCGATTCCATCTAGTGAACAGGGCTCAATGTACAGATTTTCGCTAAAACACAAACAAATAAAAAACTTTTTTTGCTAGGATGGAACCACAGGCTATTAGAAATGAGCCAGAAACAACCAGTAATCATAAGCACGAACCAAGAAGCCTGCCGTCTTCCTTTGAATCAGGAGATAAGTACCTCAGTAGTAGCTCTTCTCACAGTACAGTTGATGGACTAGTCTCTAAGGAGCAGCATCGTAAAGGTAAGTTGAAACCGACAGATAAGTACCTCTGTAACAGTTCACATCACAGTTAATGGACTAGTCTGTAAAGAGCAGCATCGTAAAGGTAAGTTGAAACCGACAGATAAGTACCTCAGTAGTAGCTCTTCTCACAGTACAGTTGATGGACTAGTCTCTAAAGAGCAGAATGGTAAAGGTAAGTTGAAACCAACAGATAAGTACCTCTGTAACAGTTCACATTACAGTTAATGGACTAGTCTCTAAAGAGCAGAATGGTAAAGGTAAGTTGAAACCTACAGATAAGTACCTCTGTAACAGTTCACATTACAGTTAATGGACTAGTCTCTAAAGAGCAGAATGGTAAAGGTAAGTTGAAACCTACAGATAAGTACCTCTGTAACAGTTCACATTACAGTTAATGGACTAGTCTCTAAAGAGCAGAATGATAAAGGTAAGTTGAAACCTACAGATAAGTACCTCTGTAACAGTTCACATTACAGTTAATGGACTAGTCTCTAA